ACCTAAAGTAGTCTTATGAATTAGAATTCGAAGGAAGTTGGCTCATGTAGGGTATTTTTAGAGGCTTTAATTTTGGAATGGTACATCAGAATGTCCTGCTTATCCATAGGTGACACCGTGGGGACGTGTACTATCAGTCTGAAGTGAAATTATCATTGGACCTGTCCAACGCTGCTCGCAGCTTTAATTAGTGTCCTCACAACGACTAGTCGTAGAGGAACCTATTGTATTTTATGGAATTATTATTATTAGGGTCCTCGAAACGACTAGTCGTAGAGGAACCTATTGTATTTTGAAGAATTTACCATTTACCATTTATCATTTACCGTCATTACCGGCACATGAGGAGCATTGCGTCCAGCTCTCAGACCGGTCCGTATTTGTAAAATACCGGAAAAAATCTGTGAATATCTTGCCAACTTTCAATACGGATCGACTTTTTGGAAAATCAAAATAATTATTATTATATATGGCTCGTTGGTCTAGAGGTATGATACTCGCTTCGGGTGCTAGAGATCCCGGGTTCAAAATCCCGGACGAGCCCGCATTTGTTATGCACGTACAGCACCCCGTGAGGGGAGTGGAATGTACATCGCGCTGCCAAGAACCCCAGAAGGCCAGAGACCGGGTGTGGGCTTGTGTGGGTGCAAGTAATCACACAAACGCAGATGGTTATGGTTTAAACAGGCTATTACTTGCCAGTTTAATAATAATAATAATAGAGGGAGATGGGATCCAAAACAAAGAAATAAGCAAAAACCCCACCCCTTACCTGTCCTACGTCCAACACACACTTATCTAAACTGGCGCTCGAGCAAGGCGCCCTAACCAAAAATACAGGGAGTGGATCGCTCAGATCTAACCTGGTGTGTATAACAGGAGATATCCCTACGGGTGATGTACGCCCAGGGCGTCTACACTCCCGAGTGCTTTCCGTTCTCCCTGGGAAGGACAAAAGAAATACAAATGATTAACACTTTCAATAATCCAAAACAATCCACCATGTACAACCAATTAATTCACAATAGCACCCCAAACACAACCTTACACCCTGCCTGAGAGATCTGGACTGAACAACCAGGAACACATAAATACAGCTGATGGGACGATGCGATTGGAGGATGGGAAAACAGGAACCAGCTGTAGGAGATAACGGGAGGGCGGATGAGTAATGAAGACAATTAGCTCCACCTGAGGAGGGTTAACACACAGAGCAGAGACATGTACACACACACACACGCAACACAGACAAGAAAGGGGGTCGTAACATGAGGTAAGATATGCGCAGGCTCCTCCATAGTTCGGTAAAGTTGGCAAGATATTCAGATTCAGACTGACGGACCGGTCTGCGAGCTGGACGCATCGCTCTTAATGTGCAGGTAATGATGGTAAATGATGGTAAATGATGGTTGTAGCTAGTTGTTATCTACGGTCCACTACGATTACCAAAGGGGCCGTTTGTTTTTGACAACGTTTTATCTCATAATATCGACTTTCTATGCCCTTTCTTCAGTGCGGAAATGGGCTTCTATAGTTGTGTGAATGCATCACTCCAGCCAATCCAAAGACGGGGTTTGTAACCAATCAGATGTAGAGACCATGGTGACTGGCTTCGCCCCCTTACTGTCAAAAAGAAAAACAGCGAGCGCGTAGAAAACACCTTCGAGCGCGAGCAGAGATTAACCTCGCGAGCGAGGAAGTTAACGTTTTGCGAGCAAGCATATATCCGGCGTGAGCAAAAATTTGTGACGGAGACGGAGATTTGCTTGCGGACGTTTTGATTTACGTAAAGTTACGTTGAGTAAAGTCTCCAGTCTAGTCCTTGTTTTGCTCGCACGGCAGTATCGTACGGTATTGTAGTGACTCTCGCTAATGAAGCTCCAGACAATGGACTCTTTTACGGTTTTTATTAATCGAACAGGCTACTGTGGGCCGTAGCCTACGCCGAACAACAACAAGCACCTCCGACACAACTCACGCTCCCCCTTCACCTATGGAATGCCTTTTTAGTCAAAATTAAATAAATGAATAAATACGTAAATACATGAAATATGCATTTGAAATACATCATGAAATAAATAAATGAGGCAATAATAAATAAATATTAAATACATTTAATTATTTCATGGTACTTTTATTTCATAATGCCACTTCTTATTTCCAGAGTCTTTTATTTCATAATGCCACTTTTCATTTCCAGAGTCTTTTATTTCATAATGCCGTTTTTCATTTCCAGAGACTTATTTCATAATGCCGTTTTACATTTCACGTTCTTATATGCAAATCAGGGGGCGTGGCTACATCTAACATTCAGAACAGACAACAGAGCCGTGTGCAAAAGAAGGCTGGCTAAGGGACGTGGGATTAGCGCTGGTACTACAAGCACAGGTGCTGGACGCCCGCCTCTGGATATTCCTGGATATTGGATTTCTCTGGTTGATAGACCGGACAACACAAAGTTAGCCAGCTTGTCGCCAGGAATATCCAGAGGCGGGCGTCCAGCACCTGTGCTTGTAGTACCAGCGCTAATGTTGACTTCTGCTGCAGGACAAACTCTCCCAGCTGCACTTGCCAGACTCCACCTGCAAGTGGATCACAGACTTCCTTTCTGACAGGAAGCAGCACGTGAAGCTGGGGAAACATGTCTCAGCCTCTCGGACCATCAGCACCGGTTCCCCCCAAGGCTGCGTTCTTTCCCCTCTGCTCTTCTCCCTGTACACCAACAGCTGCACCTCCAGTCACAGAGGCAGAGGTTGTTCTTCCTGAGGCAGCTGAAGAAATTCAACCTGCCAAAGACGATGATGATCCACTTCTACACGGCCATCATCGAGTCCATCCTCTGCTTTTCCATCACCATCTGGTACGCTGCAGCCACAGCCAAGGACAAGGGCAGGCTGCAGCGTGTCATCCGCTCTGCAGAGAGGGTGATCGGCTGCAATCTGCCGTCCCTGCAGGACTTGTTCGCTTCCAGGTCTCTGAAGCGAGCTAAAAAGATCGTGGCCGACCCCTCTCACCCTGGACAAGAACTGTTTGTGCCCCTTCCATCTGGCAGGAGGCTGAGGTCCATCAGGACTAAGACCTCCCACCACACCATAAACAGTTTCTTCCCGTCGGCAGTCGGGCTCATCAACAGAGCCCGGTCCCCCATTGTCTGACTATAACATTCCACCGGTCACTCCCCTTCACACTGCACATGTCACTTTAACTGTAATTTATCACTTTGTCGTCACTCGTCACTTTGTTACTTGTTCGCTAGTGCACTTTATGCTTAATATTTTTTAACTTTTTTAATATTTTAAATTTTTTACTTTAACTTTATTCCCTTGTTTTATACTAACCCATAGCCTTATTCTACTAACCCATTGCATTAGCATTTCATTTTACTTTATTGTATTACTTGTGCACTGCTGTCTTGTTGTCTATTGTTACACTGTCTGTCATGCACCAACCGCCAAGACAAATTCCTTGTATGTTTGACATATTTTGGCAATAAATGTTTCGTGATTCCTGATTCAACTTGGACCTCTTCCACACGCACGCGGTGCTCAATCAGTCTTAAACAATTTAAAACTTCGTCGTCTATGTATATATCTTGAAGAGCACTTATCTGCCCTAGTATTTCCAAAAAAACCTCTATGTGTCAAAATCGTATCTGCAGAAAACCCATGTTGATCGATTTGATCTGCTAATGCTAGCATGCTACCTCGGAGCCCACCGATGTCTTCCATTATATCAACACTCACGTCCCTTAGCCAGCCTTCTTTTGCACACGTCTCTGTTGTCTGTTCTGAATGTTAGATTCTGGAAATGAAAAGTGGCATTATGAAATAAAAGACTCTGGAAATGAAAAGTGGCATTATGAAATAAAAGTCTCTGGAAATTGTTGAGCCTGCGTGGGGTGAGGCTCTCAGGAATGTGACCTTTGATGTGGGCCGGTGACTTAAGGCAGTCCAGGGTGAGATAAGACACAGATGAAATCATACGTGCCCTGACTGACCTTTTAGATGTTGATTGTCTGGGTCCATAAAGGGAGGGTCACGGGGTCACCCCTACATCATCTGGTACTTTTCCAACACTCCTCTTGAGGGGTGGACTCTCCTGTGCTGAGGCAGCACAAACCCCCCTGAAGAGTAAATAAGCTCCTGTTCTCCTCTTCAACTTGGTCAGATCTTCCTGCTCCTTTTGGGGGAAGGAACATCTGTCCCTTTTCAGCTGAATTGTAGTCATTTGACTTCTGTCTGCGCTTACGACTTGTGCTGATGATTTCTGTATTCTTTATCTTTTTCCTATATTCTAGTGAGTAATAAATACTTAATCACAAAGCAAGCTCAAGATACTTTTGATTTCTCACATGGGCTAAATCCACAAATTTCCACCACAGAAATGAAAAGTGGCATTATGAAATAAAAGTACCATGAAATAATTAAATGTATTTAATATTTATTGCCTCATTTATTTATTTCATGATGTATTTCAAATGCATATTTCATGTATTTACGTATTTATTCATTTATTTAATTTGGACTAAAACGGCATTCTATACCAAACATCCCCACAACATGTCCCCATAGGTGGCACTAGTATAACTGGCCTAACGTTTACTGAACTACTAAAACATAGTAAATTGGGACTTTGCTTACTGAACATGCCAGTCCGTTACAGTATAATAGTAATAGTATTTTATTGAGTGCTTTTGTGGTGCTACACTTCTTACCCACTTGGTTTTCTGATTACATTAAAAGAAATGTTGCGACTAAATGAACGTCTGATGTAGTACTCAGGTTTCTTTGGTTAAATGAAAAAAAGGAGTTTCGCATTACACTACATAGTCATATTTCATCACATTTCACCATCGTGCTTATCTTAAACCCTCATGCATTATTTATGAGCTGTCCATTGCCATCCTTGGAAGAAGGAAAAAAACGTCTGCTACTTTGCTCCTAGTGGTCATTTCTCCCACGCCCCCTGAACGCAGCAGCAGGCTGACTGACTCCGTGAAGATGGCGGACTGTATACGTGTTCCTCTTCTCCTGCTCTCGATCTGCATCTTCTCCTCTTTGCACCCAATTCGAGGACAAAATAATGTTATCACCAAACTCGCAGCTAATGCTGATCTTCCGCTGAAGCCTGCCGGAGGTCTGGGGCCGGCAGCGGGGATCCCGGGAGCCGCGGAAAGGATCCCGGGAGCCGGGGCCTCGCTGCCTCGGAAGCGCTCCACCGGCTGGAAGTTGGTCGAGGAAGGGGTGTGCAGGGAGGACCTGACCCTGCTTTGCCCCAAACACTCATGGAACAACAACCTGGCGGTGCTGGAGTGTCTGCAGGACAGGAAAGAGGTACGTTAGGGGGACGGGAAGACGTGTTTTCCGGGGGAAACGGGCAGGGTGTGCCTGCTTAACGGAAACCCAGCTAATGGTAGCACTGCTAGCCAGCCCGCTGGCAGCGAACGTCACGCCAGTCACCTGTAATAAATTGAGTAATTAATGAGCTATCGTCTTATGCTGCAAGTTGCGAACTGTAGAAAAACATTACATCTATATTCAGAGTCCTCGGGAACCACTGTTCACTTCGGCGTGATGCAATGCTTCAGACTCTACCTCGACTAAATTGTTCTTGTAATGCCGCTTATCTATAGCAAATTGTAAATTGGCTGGAAATTGCACTTTCTTGTTTCTTGTTCTTCTGAGTTTGTGCCCAATGGTTGAATGCACTTATTGAACAAGTATTGTTCTTCTATTCTTTATTGTTGGAATGCATTAAGCATTCCAAGTATTGTTCTTTGAATCTTTATTTCAACATCTTTTTTGTATTGTTGGAATGCATTAAGCATTCCAAATATTGTTCTTCTATTCTTTATTTCAACTTTTTATTCTATTTCTTCCGTGGCACCTTTCAACTCCTTCACACTTTCAGCTATTACAACCGTTCAAATATTAAAATGTTCAGCTTCTTTCCGGCTTCCCGGCTATGACTTTTCAGCTTTCTACCTCTTAAGCTTTTGAACAATTTAAAACCTCTTTTTATTCATCTTAGGTTTTGTTATTTCTGTATTTTTTAAATTCATTTAAGCTCCTGCAACTTCTGTATTTTTTAGAAATTCAATTGAAATTTAGCTTCACATTTTTGTATTTTCAGCAGTTCTTTCAAATAATTTCAGCTTTTCTTATGCCTGTGTTAACAGCAATGTTTTAATATTCATTTCTGTATTTTTTTTGCAATATTTCACATTTATTTCAGCTGTTTTCATTTCTGTCTTTTCAGCAAATCTATTGAAATTCCTTTCAGCTTCTCCCATTTCTGTATTTTCAGCAATTTCAAATTAATTTCAGCTTTTCTAATATCTGTAATTTCAGCAAATGTATTCAAATTCCTTTCTGTATTTTCAGCTAAATTCAGTTCAGCTTTTTGCATTCCAACGCATTTTCAGCAGGAAATGCATTTTCTAGTTGTTGGAATGCATTAAGCATTCCAAGTATTGTTCTTCAAATCTTTATTCAACTTATTATTGTTGGAATGCATTAAGCATTCCAAGTATTGTTCTTCCAATCTTTATTCCGCCTTCTTCTTCTTCTTCTATTTCTTCCGTGGCACCTTTCAACTCCTTCACACTTTCAGCTATTAAAACCGTTCCAATATTAAAATATTGAGCTCCTTTCCGGCTTGCCAGCTATGACTTTTCAGCTTGCTACCTCTTAAGATTGAATTTATATGAATCAGTAATCATGAATATCTCTTCTAATGGTTTTCCAATGCAGATCGTATTCAAATCCTCTTAAACTTCTTCAAATTTCAGATTTTTCAGCTTTGCCAATCTTTCAGCTACAGACACCATTTAAACTTTCAAATGTTTACACAAGTCTCAACTGTTTTATGAAAACGACTGCTTGTTGATATCTATTCTACTTTTTTCATAATCACTGATTATGTTTCACTACTTCTTCGCTCCGTTTCTGAGTTTAACATGAGCTGGAGACGCTAGAGTGTGGGGCAGCGTCAGAATCTGGTTAAAAAAATATGGAACTTCGGTCCTCAGAGCCAAAGTATACACTTTTGAGGCTTCATTTTAGCTTAACGTGATGGCATGGTTGTGCTGCTTGTAGTCATGTGGCTATGGAATCCCAGAGTTCTTTAGTTTTGGCCTACGGAGACCAAAAGTCACACAACCTCTGCCAAAAGCCCCATAGGCTCCAATACAAATCTGCTGACATATTTCTCAAAAAATCCAGAAGGTACACATTTTGTAAACTGCGACAGAAGCCGTATTTATTAGCGGACAGACATAAAAAAAACTCCCTGCGTTCAGTATATTCTTGGGTCTCGCACAAACTTCTTACTTTTTAGATAGCTGTCATAGTTTTGCAATAGAGGACTCTTGTTTGAGGTGTGGTTCCTTGGTAAAATCTGTTTACTCTGCGCGGTCTGTGATCAGCCCGCGAAAACAGTAGCTGCGCCGTCTCCATTACGACCACACAGCCTCGTGCCAGCACTCACTCTCCCTCCGCTACGTAGTCTGACAGACACACAGACCTATGTGGGGAGAACATGGCGCTAGCTAACGCGACGCTAGCTAGCATAGCGCTAACATGGCGCTAGCTAGCATTTCACCACAAAATAACAGTAGCAAACGGCTGACAAGTGGCTCAAACAGTGTGCCAGCACTCACTCTCCCTCCCCTACGTAGTCTGACAAACACACAGGCCTACGTGGGAGGGAACTTGGTGCTAGCTAACATGGCGCTAGCTAACATAGCGCTAACATGGCACTATCTAGCATTGCACAAGCAATAATAGTACCAAAGTGCCAGTACCAAGTGGCTCAAACAGCCAGTGAAAATCTCTCATGTCTTTAGATAGCTAGCTAGGCTGTCTTTGATTCCCTTTGTGGCACTGACTCATGCAGACATTTCTACTGCTATTAATACTTCAACAGCTACTCATTTTACTACTACAACTAGTAGTATTATTACAAATGATACTATCACTACTACTACTAGTATTTCTACTGCTATTAAAATGACTCCTAGTAGTAGTACTAAAATACTACTTCTTCTAGTAGTGATTCTGCAACTGAAACTACTAGGAAAAGGTACTACTAGTATTTCTACTGGTATTAATACTACAATTAATACTAATGTTACTACAAAGACTACTCTGACTATTAGTATTTGTATTACAGCTGTTTCTGCTGCTATCGATACTAAAGCTATTACTACTTCTACTGCTAGTATTACTAATACTACAATTACAACTATAACTTATACTACTACTTATAACACTACAAACAATTTAAAACCTTTTAACGTTTTAATATTCATTTCATCTGTTTTCATTTCTGCTTTTTCAGCAAAGCTATTGAAATTCCTTTCAGCTTCTCACATTTCTGTATTTTCAGCAATTTCAAATTAATTCCAGCAAATGTATAAATATTCCCTTCATTTTTCTGTAATTTCAGCAATTTCTGAAGTTCATTTCAGCTTTTTGCATTCCAACGCATTTTCAGCTGAAAATGCATTTTCTAGTTATTATTAGGGTCCTCGCAACGACTAGTCGTAGAGGAACCTATTGTATTTCATGGAATTATTATTATTTTCTCTAAGGAATTTTCCCTTTTTGAGGCCTTTATCATATTCAAAGAGTTGTTAGATTTGGCATGCATATCAGAACTAGTGAAAAATTTGATAATTTTGGGGTTTCGCATTTGAGTATCAAGAAATGTCCCTATAGCGCCCCCTATAGGGCCACACTAGGCCAGTTTTTTCCTCTAATGCCCGATCGACTTGAAATTTGGCACACATGTGCTCTTGGACATGCTCTACAAAAAAGTCAATCATGGTATGCAAATGCGCCTAACTAGATTTTCCGCCATTTTGAATTTAGTAAAAAACAACGTTTTTGGCCATTTCTCCTAAACGCTATGTCCGATTGTCACGAAATTTTCTGTGGGTCATTATTGGGTCAATGTCCCCCTGCACTATCAATATATTGTTGATATCTTCTTGTTTTAAGAGATGGGCTAATGAACTTTGCAAGGGGTGTGGCTTAATCTTGCAAGAGTCATAACTTCCAAATGATTTGGCCTGCCCTCACCAAACTTGTAAAACATGTGAACATTGAACCCCTGAACACACCCTGATTTTTTTGAGAATATTTGAAGAATAGGGGGCGCTGCAATTAATCATTGAAAGTCAGCCATGTTTGCCTATTTTTGGCTTATTTTCGTGATTTTCTAGAGTTGTAAAAGACCGAACTCCTCCCAGGGATTAAACCCGATTCTTTTCAAATTCGCGCAGTGTGATCTTGAGAACCTAGGCTCTAAAAATTGCATTTTGCCGGAAGAAATTCCAAACTATGTGTGTACGGAGCATTTTTGAAAAACCACCATTTGGCATGAAAATTGAAGTCGTTTTAACTCAACCATACTTTTATCTAATCTGCTCCATATTTCTCATATAGAATGAACTTTCCACCCTGTAGACATCCATATGATCATTTTTAACCTTAGTCATAGTGCTAACTGGTGACAACAGGAAGTTGAATGTTTTTTTTATTTAAATCCTGCTCCTCACAGGTTATGCTCCACAAAGGTTAATGTGATCCCTCTCAACATTTTGTAGCAGAGTGTTAAGACCTTGCTAGTGCTTCACTGTAAATATTAGAACAACTAAACCCTTGTAACTCTACTCCACATCATCAGATTCTTTCTAATTAACACATGTTTCATGAGACTGTGGACCTGAAGAGATGTAAAGTTGAAACAAGGCATAGCACCACCTGTTGGTTACAAGACGTCAAATCTTCTAGTGTTCAATTAAAAATGAAGATGTCATTTCGAAAATTGTATATCAGAATGTCCTAGTTATCACCGAGTGAGACCTTGGGGATGTGTAGTATGAACCTGAGTTTAAATGATCATGCGACTAATGATTGTTACCTTTTTGATTTAATCTCAAATTGACCAGACATGGTCTTGTGATTTAGATTTGGGCTCATGTTTCCTATTTCGAGAGGCTTTCATTTTGAAATATTACATCAGAATGTCCTGCCTATCCCTGGGTGACACCTAGGGTATGTGTACTATCCATCTAAAGTGAAAAGATCATGTAACTATTGATAATTTCCTTTCTATTCTAACCTGAAATTGACCAAAAGTAGTCTTGTGATGGAAAATTTGAAGGAAATTAGCTCATGTATGGTAATTTGAGAGGCTTTCATTTTGGAATGGTATATCAGAATGTCCTGGATATCACCGAGTGACACCTTGGGGATGTGTACTATCTGTCTGAAGTGAAATAATCATGTAACAATTGATAGTTTCCTTTTAGTAGTGTAGACCAAAAGTAGTGTCTTAAAGGATACTGAAGGAAGTTGGCTCATGTATAGTATCTTGACAGACTTTCATTTTGGTATATAGATCAGAATGTCCTGCTTTTCCATAGGTGACACCTTGGGGATGTGTACTATCAGTCTGAAGCGGAAATACTGTTGATTTTTTTATTTTAAATCTAATCTGAAATTGACCACATGTAGTCTTGTGATTGATATTTTGGCTAATGTATGGTATTTTGAGAGGCTTTAATTTTGGAATAGTAGATCGGAATGTCTTGCTCATCCCTGCTTGACACCTTCAGGCTGAAATGAAAAAAAAAGTGATACCGGACTCCGCGCTCCAGCTGGTGGGCTTTCAGCTGCTCCGAGCGGACCGCGACACGGAGTTCTCCGGTAAGACAAAGGGTGGAGGAATCTGCTTTTACTTCATAGGCAGCTGGTGCAACGACGTAACGGTGATCCTAAAACATTGTTGTCCTGATCTGGAAACTTTCTTCATCAACTGCAAACCATTTTATTCCGCCCTTGAGTTCGCTTCATTCATCCTGGTCGGTGTTTACATGCCGCCGGCGGGCAATGTGCACGAGGCACAGCGGACACTTGCCGACCAGATATGGCGTGTGGAGCGGACCAACCCGAACTCCTTAGTTATTGTCCTCGGGGACTTTAACAAAGGAAATCTCACATACGAACTTCCTAAGTACAGACAGTTTATTGAATGCCCCACCAGAGAGGAGAACACGCTGGATCACTGTTACACCACAGTAAGCAGGGCTTATCACGCCGTCCCTCGTGCTGCACTGGGACACTGGGACACGTCATGGTCCATCTGATTCCTGCATACATCAGAAACTAAAGCTCTGCAAACCTGTCGTGAGGGAATTCAAGAACTGGACCAGTGAGGCGCTGGAGGATCTTCGGGCGTGCTTTGACTGCACAGTCTGGGATGGTTTCAGGACTGCTACTGACAGTCTGGATGAGTTCACAGAGGCTGTAACTTCCTACACCGGCTTCTGTGAGGACAGCTGTGTACCGTCATGCACCAGGGTGAGTTACAACAACGACAAACCCTGGTTCACAGCAGAACTCAGAACACTATGACTGCAGAAGGATCAGGCATTTAGGAGTGGGGACAAAGACTTGTACACAGAGTCAAAATACAAGTTTAGCAAGGCGGTGAGAGATGCTAAACGACTGTACTCTGAGAAACTCCAACAACAGTTCTCAGCAAGTGACTCTGCTTCGGTTTGGAGAGGCCTCAAACACCTCACTAACTACAAGCCCAAAACCCCCACTCCATGAATGACCTCCGCCTGACAGACGAGCTGAATGAGTTCTACTGAAGAATCCAAAGACAATGTCCTGATCCCATCCCCCACAGCTGCACCAACCTGCCCCAGTCCCCCTCCCCTACCTCCCCCAGCGCATCTGGGGATCACGCCTCTTCATATATATCACCTTCCCCTCCCCCACCAGCAATGACCCTCTCTATTCTGGAGGATCACAGGACTCAATGACTACAGGCCCGTCGCCCTGACCTCTGTAGTCATGAAATCTTTTGAACGGCTAGTCCTGACCCACCTGAAGTCCCTCACCGACCCCCTCCTGGACCCCCTGCCTACAGAGCCAACAGGTCTGTGGACGATGCTGTCAACATGGCCCTCCCCTACATCCTCCAGCATCTGGACCCCCCAGGAACCTACGCCAGGATCCTGTTTGTGGACTTCAGCTCTGCCTTCAACACCATCATCCCGTCTCTGCTGCAGGACAAACTCTCCCAGCTGCACGTGCCCGACTCCACCTGCAAGTGGATCACAGACTTCCTGTCTGACAGGAAGCAGCACGTGAAGCTGGAGAAACATGTCTCAGCCTCTCGGACCATCAGCACCGGTTCCTCCCAAGCCTGCGTTCTTTCCCCTCTGCTCTTCTCCCTGTACACCAACAGTTGCACCTCCAGTCACCAGTCCGTCAAGCTCCTGAAGTTTGCGGATGACACCACCCTCATTGGACTGATCTCTGGTGGGGCTGAGTCCGCCTACAGGTGGGAGTCTGACCATCTGGTGTCCTGGTGCAGTCAGAACAACCTGGAGCTCAACGCTCTAAAGACAGTGGAGATGGTTGTGGATTTCCGGCGGAACAGAGCCCCACCCTCCCCCATCACCCTGTGTGACTCCCCCGTCACTATTGTGTATTCCTTCCGTTTCCTGGGCTCCATCATCACCCAGGACCTCATGTGGGAGCTGAACATCAGCTCTATCACCCAGAGGGCTCAGCAGAGGTTGTTCTTCCAAAGACGATGATGGTCCACTTCTACACGGCCATCATCAGGTCCATCCTCTGCTCCTCCATCACCGTCTGGTACGCTGCAGCCAAGGACAAGGGCAGGCTGCTGCGTGTCATCCGCTCTGCAGAGAGGGTGATCGGCTGCAATCTGCCGTCCCTGCAGGACTTGTTCGCTTCCAGGTCTCTGAAGTGAGCTAAAAGGATCGTAGCCGACCCCTCCCACCCCGGACAAAAACTGTTTGTGCCCCTTCCATCTGGCAGGAGGCTGAGGTCCATCAAGACCATGATCTCCCGCCACACGAACAGTTTTTTCCCGTCGGCAGTCGGGCTCATCAACAGAGCCCGGTCCCCCACTGACTGACTATAACATTCCACCGGTCACTCTCCTTCACACTGCACATGCCACTTTAACTGTAATTTCTCACTCGTCACTTTGTCGTCACTCGTCACTTTGTCACTTGTTCGATAGTGCACTTTGTGTTTAATATTTTTTAACTTTTTTAATATTTTAAATTTTTAACCTTAACTTTTTTCTCTTGTTTAATACTAACCCAAAGCCTTATTCTACTAACCCATTGCATTAGCATGTAACTATTGATAGTTTCCTTTTAGTTCTAACCTGAAGTTGACCAAAAGTAGTCTTGTGATGGAAATCGGCTCATGTATGCTATTTTGAGAGGCTTTAATTTTGGAATAGTGTAACCCAGGTTGAAATCTGGCAATATATTACATTGGTTTTGCCGTCCCCTGGTCCTTTAAAATGCGAACTCACGCAACCCCAGTCACGTGACTGTGCTTGGCCAATCACGCAGTAGAGCACGAGTTTTAACTAAACACTGAAGCCAGAGACTGGACTGGCCTCAATGGTCGGCTCTTCAACAGCAGGGAGAAAACCACGTGGTAAGAAAAGATCTCTGTGAAGAGTGCGTTTAGGACCGTCATGCTGCTCTGGCTTCACTGTATAGACTGGTAAGTCTCCAACTTGATCTACCACAATGTAGATGTCCTGCTCCCACTTATCACTGAGCTTTTGTTTGCCTCTCAATCGAACATTACGCACAAGCACTCGGTCTCCAGGCTCCAACCTTGAAGGAATAACTCTTTGATCAAAGCAGACCTTGTTCTTTTCAGATGCTTTGACTGGTCTCACGCGATGCGCTGGCCTCCATCTTTGCTTTTCTTGTCATTTTGAGTCCCGTTAATCGTCCTCTTAAGGAACATCTGGAGGAATTATCGCTAACGTCTTCTCTACCTCTTTTTTTTTTCTTAAGGAAACTGAGATTGCAGCCGAATGCAACAATGTAAGTGTTTTCCTTCTTCAAAGCCTCATCCCAGCATGTAACTTGTTTGCCCTAGATGCACTCTAACGTTGATATGGGAGCGATGTGAGACATCTTGGAATGGGGTTCAATCCCTATTTAAGGGTTACTTACTAGCTTCTTCTGGAGCTTTAAGCCACATGACATCCATCCTCGTGTTCTTTGTACCCTCCAGCTGCTGTGGAACTACAAGCTGAACCTGACCACCGACCCCAAGTTTGAGTCTGTCGCCGTGGAGGTCTGCAAGACCTCCATCTCTGAGGTGAGTGCTGAAACAGAAGTTGCTTTAACTCGACCATACTTTATCTTATCTGCTCCATATTTCTCATATAGCATGAACTTCTCACCCGGTAGACATCCATTTTTTCATAGCGTCACCTGGGGGGGGAACAGGAAGTTGATTGCTTTTTTATTTTACAACTCCTACCTTCTGATGTCAATGTTTTACACTCTTTTGCCTCAGATCAGAGAATGCGCGGCAGAGGAGCTGGGGAAGGGCTACCTGGTGTCCTGCCTGGTGGATCACCGTGGCAACATTAGCGACTACCAGTGTAACCAGTACATCACCAAGATGACTACCATCGTGTTCAGCGACTACCGGCTCATCTGCGGCTTCATGGAGAAGTGCCGCGAGGACATCAATACGCTACACTGCGGCAGCATCAGCACCGGGGAAAAGGTGTGGCTTCCACAAGTCACCGTGGTTACGCTGTTTGGGCCGATTGGGGTGATTGGGGTTCAGCGCAGCTCTGTTAATTAATGGAGGAAAACTGTTTTAAATTGAGCAGATTTCCTTTTTTTTGTTATGAATGAAATTAACCAGTCCTTCACTCGTCCCACAAAGGGGACTTTTAAATAAATAGTGCTCAGGGAAACCCGATTGACTTCGCTGTGAACATTTCTATCCAACACACTGTGCTGGTGTTCAATGGAGGTTTTCTCCTGCCTCGGGAGCATGTGCCTATTCTGGGATCTGTCCCGCTGGCATGAGGAGAACTCTGAGCGAATTATTTCTTCTGCGGACTCGAGCTTCCTTACCTGCAATTCTGTGACCACAGATTAGAAAGACGAGACGCACGACTGACGTGTGCCTGTGTGCGTGCGCTTCCATCAAGGGTGTTCCATATCGCGGACTGTGAGAGCCGTTGTCTCCCTCTCTGACGCCCCCCTCCCTCCCCACTTGCCCCCCCGCGCAGGACGTCCACTCTCAGGGCGAGGTCATCGCCTGTCTGGAGAAGGCTTTGGTGCGGGACGCCGAGGAGCAGCAGGGGGCGCACCCCATCAAAGACGAGTGCAAGAGGTCCATCATGAGGGTGGCCGAGCTCTCCTCGGACGACTTCCACCTGGACCGCTACCTATATTTCTCCTGCCGGGAGGACCGCGAGCGCTTCTGTGAAAAGGTGAGGAACGACCTTCAACTTCACCTTTTCGTGAGGAGGACAATGTCAGATATCGAAGCAATAAATGACTCACGTCATGAGGGATCTCTCCCCCCTCCTCAGACGCTGGCCGGAGAGGGGCGAGTTTACAAATGTCTCTTCAATCACAAGTTCGAGGAGGCGATGACGGAGAGGGTGAGTGTGAAGGTCGCCTTGGATGATAAACATTCCCCAAGGCCACTCCTACAAAATGAAAGACTCTAGATAACAAGTGTCCCCCCCCCCCTTGTGACCTCAGTGCCGCGAGGCGTTGACCACCCGGCAGAAGCTGATCGCTCAGGACTACAAGGTGAGCTACTCGCTGGCCAAGGCCTGCAAGTCGGACCTGAGGAAGTACCACTGCAGCGCCGACAGCAACATGCCGCGGGCCCGCGAGGCCCGCCTCTCCTACCTGCTACTGTGCCTGGAGTCGGCTGTGCACCGAGGTACGAGCCCCCGTGGGACCAGCTGTGGTCAAACCATATGGATAATGATTAGAATCCGTGGAGATAATTTTGTGCTGATTTTTTATAATTGATTCGGATTCAATATGGTATAAAATAAAGTTGGTGTCTAAACCATTTTGAAAAATAACCCTCACGGACGCGGTGCTTCTTCCCAGGCCGCGTGGTCATCGGCGAGTGTCAGGGCGAGATGATGGACTACAGGCGGATGCTGATGGAGGACTTCTCCCTGAGTCCGGAGATCGTGCTGCACTGCCGGGCGGAGATCGAGGGCCACTGCTCGGGCCTCCACCGCAAGGGCCGCACGCTGCACTGCCTGATGAGGGTTGGCCGGGGGGACGCCAGTGCCATCGACGCCAACTGCCAGAGGGCGGTAAGTTGGAGGCAGTTACTGTGTGTTATCAGGGAGGGGGTGAAAAGATGCTCCTCTGCTCAACTAGTGCGGAAACCTTTCCAGGCGAAAGAATAGATTCTTACGAGACCAGCTACCAGGATCCTGCTCAGTGAGGTCCTACGTCACCAGGATGCCCTTTATTTCACAGCATCACCACAGTAACCGCCTCCTCAGCTCCTCACGACTCGTTGTTGTTTGTGTCTTCAGCTCCAGACTCTGATCCAGGAGGCTGACCCCGGCTCCGACTACCGCATCGACCGGGCCCTCAATGAGGCCTGTGAGTCTGTGATCCAGACGGCCTGCAAGCACATCCGCAGCGGGGACCCGATGTGAGTGAAGGGCCTCTTCCACAGCTACACTCCTCCTCCACCACCATACACACCTCTTACAGCTACATTTCTATCCAACATCATCATATTAACATGCTTTTTATTTGAAAATATCGCCCCAACGGGAGTTTTCATATAGTTTTTTTCCTGTAATCCAACCTGTTCTTGTTCATTTATTCTTAAATGTGCTCCCCCTGTGATTCTGCGTTCTAATCTCTGATTTACACCTTTCATCCACATTATATTTAGATTTTTATTCACTGCTGCAAAGACCAGCACTAAAAACAATTTGTCCGTTTCAAAGATACGTCTCTGAGTTTAAAAGTGAAATGTCCTCTTCTCTTTGGATTTTATTTGCGAAAGATGAAAGTTTCACCATGGACCGTGATTTAAAAAAATAAAAGGACTGTATGTGTGTTGCTGCAGGATCCTGTCGTGTTTGATGGAGCACCTGTACACAGAGAAGATGGTGGAGGACTGTGAGCACCGGCTGCTGGAGCTGCAGTACTTTATCGCCCGAGACTGGAAGTAAGTTGGCCTCCTCCTCCTCCCTCTCCTCACAAGCTTTGTGGAAACATGAAAGAGAAAATCCCAAAGGAATAGTTACAGACTAAATTCCTCAGTGATCTTTAAATGTGCATTTCCCTCTGCTTCATGTATGTTCATGGATTCTTATTCATTTCACCCAGTAATGATTCCAGTTCTTCACCACTTCATCATTACGTTAAGAGGAGCAATTACTGAATTAAAGAGTAGTCATAAATATTATATATTTAACACTATGTAAATGAAAATGAAAATATGAAAATATTTTCTTATGTTCATTCTTATGTCTGATTCAATTAATCATCCACATTGCTCAACCCCATCCCCTCCCCTCCAGGCTGGATCCCGTCCTGTACAGGAAGTGTCAGAGCGACGGCGCCCGCCTCTGCCACGCCCACCGCTGGAACGAGACCAGCGAGGTGATGCCGCCCGGCGCCATCTTCTCCTGCCTTTACCGCCACGCCTACCGCTCGGTGGAGCAGGGCCGCCGGGTGAGTCTTCCTACACAGTGGGGGGGAGTGTGTTCGCTTTAGTGGGGTTTATCTCTGTTTGCTATCGGGGGTTTTAACGGACATTTTAAATGGATGTTTTAGAGAAAAAAGTCTGAATATACACATTTGTATATTTCAGTATGCAAAAGAAAAAATGACAAATTGCAGGAAATAGAGTGTCACTGACCAGAGAATGTTGTCGTAACTCCTCGGTGGGGAGTCTGAAGCAGGGAAGCAGGGTTTGATTTCAGGCTGGTTGGAATCCGTTCCATAGGAAAAAGCATCCAGATGGAACTCTGCTCTTTACCTGTAGTCCACTTTGTGTTCCATATATTAAACGTGTCCTGAAGGCGCCGAAGATGGAGGAAACTCTCGCAGCTCAACCAAATGCTCCTCTTTGACTAGCCGTGGGAGCCTGTGATCCCGTTAGCGCCCAAGCTACCTAGCACGCTAATTATTATTATTATTATTACGCAATTATTCCTAATCTTAATTGCTCGCCCGGTTCGGCCACCAGCTCAGTAGCTGAAGATAACCCAGCAAGTCATTTATTGTCTCTCTGAGAGCAAAAGGACAATTGATAAAATATTCTTTCTTTGAATGTTGTCTGTAAACATATTTTCTTTCTCGAGCAGCGAATGCAAGACGTTCCATTCCACGATGCATTTTTAGAGTGGAGTATCACGCCGAGGCCTCTGCCTACAACAGAAGGAAGCGTTAGTTTTTTCTGGTCTCTAAGCCGTCGTGCCCCCCCAGCTCTCCAGGGACTGTAAGGTGGAGGTGCAGAGGATCCTCCACCAGAGGGCGCTGGACGTGAAGCTGGACCCCGAGCTCCAGAGGCAGTGCATGACCGACCTGGGAAAGTGGTGCAGCGAAAAGACGGAGCCCGGCCAGGAGCTGGAGTGCCTGCAGGACCACCTGGAGGACCTGGTGGCCGGCTGCAGGGACGTGGTGGGCAACCTGACGGAGCTGGAGTCCGAGGTAACTGCTGCCGCTACCCACAATGCAACGCGAGAGGCCTAGTGTTCCAGTGCAGGGTTCCCCTAGTTTTAGATCACATAGAAATCGCACATTATTTATATATGTATTATTCTTCATGTCAGTTATGGTCAAAAGTAAGTAAGTTGAATGCAGAGTTTCTCTACATAACTGACCACGTTTTGTAATTGTCTGATAATCTCTTGTTGGAGGCTAGCTACGTTGTGCTAGCTTTTTTCTCTGTAAACAGATTATTTTGTGACTGTCTGTTCGGGTCCTAATGAGTTTGCTTCATTTGACGGATAGAAGTAAAATGTCTCTGGTCTGTCCTCAGGACATCCAGATTGAGACTCTGATGATGCAGGCGTGTGAACCCGTCATCCAGACCTTCTGCCACGTGAGTCTGACCCGTATAAGTGCACCAGAGCATGAAAAGAAAGCTGATCACAATGACGCACAGCATGCACGATGAAGTTAGTAAGCAAGAAGCCATGGTTATTGCCCCACCACTACCCCGGTCTGTCTCTCAGGAGGTGGCCGATAACCAGATCAACACGGGGGACCTGATGGAGTGTCTGGTGCAGAACAAACACCAGAAGGAGATGAATGAGAAGTGTTCTGTGGGAGTGACGCACTTCCAGCTGGTGAGGATCAGAACCGTTTCGCATAAGCTGTGACACAAACGGGCCGACGTGCTAACCAGCTGCTCTCCCTCCAGATCCAAATCAAAGACTTCCGTTTCTCCTACAAGTTCAAGACGGCCTGCAAGGAGGACGTCCTCAAGCTGTGTCCCAACATCAAGAAGAAGTAAGACACTTTATATCAGCGGGTCGGTCCAAACAGAAAGGTCCACTTACTGGCTCCGCCCCCCCGTCTTCTGGGAGGGGGAAGAGCCGCTCTTCTTCTTCATGTGTTTTGTAAACGTTGACTTCCCTGAAATCCAATACGCCACTTTTGTCCATAAGAAGGGTTACAGGTTGTGGTCGTCCCTGCCACACGGAGCGGACACCCCGCTTCTGAGGGGACAGTCTTTACTTACATTACTTCCACTGTCCTCATCGACTCGCTGCTTCGTCCCCGGCGGCGTTTAAAAATAACCTTGAGATGTTGTGCTGCTCCCTTCCCTCCTGCTGTAGGGTGGACGTGGTGATCTGCCTCAGCACCACCGTGAGGAACGACACGCTGCAGGACGCCAAGGAGCAGCGGGTGTCCATCAAGTGTCGCAAACAGCTGCGGGTGGAGGAGGTGGAGATGGTAGGTTCACTGAACCGGGGTCACGTCCGATTGGCCAACGGAACATATACACATCTGTAAAGGCAGCTAACACATCTGGGTTCTTCTCTGGAGATGTTTCTATGAGCTTCGTCTTCCTTCGTCTTTCTCCTTCTCTCTCTCTCTCCAGTCGGAGGACATCCGCTTAGAACCAGAGTTGTACGACCCCTGTAGGCAGGACATCAACCGGCTGTGTCAGAACGTGCCCTTCGGAAACGCACAGGTCAACACACACACACACACATAACCGTTTACTTTACACAAAATGCAATTCTGATCTTTAATGAAATCCATCATTTGACAGCATGGAAAAGTCCTTTCTAGAGTACTCAGTTGATTAAAAACAGGAAGTGACCTTTGAGCATGTAGGCGGTCACTCGGGTCATCGGGTAGTTGAGTGTGCTCTTTAGGTCCCTGTAATAATTCTGATGTAGTTATTCACTGTGAGAAGGACTCTGTGCTCCAGATGGTTCTGACCCGTGGCTCTGTGTCCCTGTAGGTCATCGAGTGTCTGAAGGAGAACAAACGGCAGCTGACTCAGCGCTGCCACCAGCGCATCTTCAAGCTGCAGGAGGTGGAGATGGTGGATCCCGAGCTGGACTACCAGCTGATGAGGGTCTGCAAGCACATGATCAGGGTAGGCCAGTAGAACCAGCACCACAGGGTCACTGTAGACAGCAGACAGCACCACGGGTTCCTGTCTGAAGTCTGTGTGTTTTCAGCGGTTCTGTTCGGAGTCGGAGGGGAAGAACGTTCTTCAATGTCTGAAGCAGAACAAGAACAGCGAGTTGATGGATCCTAAATGCAAGCAGATGATCACCAAGAGACAGATCACCCAGAACACGGGTACGCGCACGCACGCGCACATACATACACACACACACATATGCACACCGTCCTCTACCTCACCATTTTTTTGTGTTGCTCCTACAGACTACAGGCTGAACCCGGTGCTGAGGAAGGCCTGCAAAGCCGACATCCCCAAGTTCTGCCAGCCCATCCTGAACAAGGCCATGGCGGACAGCGAGCTGGAGGGGCAGGTCATCGCCTGCCTCAAGCTGAAATACGCCGGCCAGGTTAGACACCTTTTTAAAGAGTGAACCTCAGTTGGAGAGAAAATGTTTTAGGTTTTGTTTGTTTTTCTTTTTTAGGGCCAAAATGGCATAACAGAATATAAAAAAACAGTTGTGATATGTAAAAGTCAGTTTATATGTTATTGGTAAAGAAATCAATATAGCACACAAAACAACATTTTGTGACACCTGCAATAAAACCACTAACAGCCCTCTAAATCCTATAAAACATGAAGAAACAAAGCTAAGCTGTGTTTTTGTGTGTTGTGTCAGCGTTTGTCTCCAGACTGCGAGGCTCAGATCCAGGTCATCCTGCAGGAGTCAGCGCTGGACTACAGGCTGGACCCTCAGCTGCAGATCCAATGCACAACGGAGGTTCACACATTTCTGCTTTGTCTCTTTATCACACACACACATTCATTGGGTTCAGACGGTCCCTGAACACACATACATTGTTTTACTTCCAATACAATAAGCTCTCTCCATCTTCAGCATCCGTCTTGCTCTCTTGTGTGCAGTTAACAGCGGTTAGCACAGTTACTACGTTCAAATATTTTGTGTATGTAAGTCGCTTTGGATAAAAGCGTCAGCTAAATGGCTTTTAATGTAATGTAATGTAATATATGATATGATATGGGCTGTAATGTGCCCATTTGGTCATTAGAGGGCGATGATGTGGCATTAATAAAGACGTATATACTTATTGGGGTCAAACCGGCTGCGGTGATTGGCTGAAAGGAAACACTCTTTCTAAATTACAAGAACACTCATGTCTCATCTGTCCGTCTAACCTATAGTCTAACCTCAAATGATGTTAAACGTCAAGATGTTGCGTAAATCTGGCTGCTGCGCATGTTAAGACTATAACCCCTCAGTGCCTTGCTCACTGTAGGGCAGCAGCTAACAGCTACTTGTGATGTATCTTCAGATTTCCCAGCTGTGTTCAGAGGAGGCGGCGGCTCAGGAGCAGACGGGTCAGGTGGAGGAGTGTCTTAAGGTCAACCTGTTGAAGATTAAACAGGACGGATGTAAGAAGGTAAACGGCGCGTGTGCTGCCTTCACTGACCCTCGTGGAGGGCCGGAAACTGCAGTGCCAGCACACAACCCTTTTCCCAACTGTCATTAACAGAATTTGTGATATTAAAAGTAACTTTTAATAAATAATAAATGTGGATACGTGATCCGTTTCTGTAGAAAAGGAGAATGGAGAATGTCCAGCATCAATTATGTGATAATTTCCTTTCCTCTTCCTCATCTACCTCATCTCCTCCCTCTCCATGTTGCCTCCTCCTCCTCCTGCAGGAGGTTCTGAACATGCTGAAGGAGAGTAAGGCGGACATCTTCGTGGACCCTGTCCTCCACACGGCCTGCGCTCTAGACATCAAACATCAATGTGCAGCCATCCCACCTGGAAGGGGGCGACGTGAGTCCAAAACAAATAAACATATGTTGAGGAACTGCTTTTATTTGCTTTTTTAAAATTTGTATTAATCTGTATTAAATGGAATTAAAGTGATATTTTTGCTTCTGATGAATTAAAATTCAGTTTGAATATTATGTCTTCTGGACAGAAACGGATTGAAACAGCTCTTTACGTTGCTTCCTCAGAGATGTCGTGTCTGATGGAGGCACTTCAGGACAAACGAGTACGTTTGCAGCCGGAGTGCAAGAAGAGACTTCAGGATCGCATCGACATGTGGAGCTATGCCGCAAAGGTGAGAGAGAGACTTTCTCTGAAAAGATGAGCATGTTTAAATTACACACGATTTTTCATTTTAATTATTATTATTAAATTACAAATTTACTGAATGAGTTGTATAACATCAATTTTGAGGGGTCCTTTATTTGAAAAGCACTTTATACGCTGCAGAATGTAGGTTGTTTTATTTTGGAAATGTGGACTTTTATTTGAAACAGATTTAGTGAGCAGTAGAAAATATATTTGAGTGAACTTATACTCACTTTTTATTTGAAACCCAAGGTGTGGGGCTTTTATTTTGATGTGAACACATCTGTCCTCTCCTCACTTCTTGTCAGGTGGCTCCTGCCGAGGGCTTTTCTGACCTGGCCATGCAGGTGATCACGTCTCCATCCAAGAACTACATTCTGATGGTGATTGGTGGAGGCGTTGCTGTGCTCTTTGTAATGGGGCTGCTCTGCGGCCGATTCACCAGGCGCGTCACTCAGCAGCTGAAAGACAGGTAGACCCCACCCCCTTTGGGTTCAGGACACACCCACCGGAGAACAACCACCTCTGATCATCAACCCCCCTTCTCCCCTTTCCTCTCTGAGTCACCACTTAATATACAGAAAGAAATTGGCATCTTTGGCCATCTCTGCAATATCAAAGAGGAATTACCCACAACCCTGCAGGACAAAGTCTGCTTAATCAGTGACCTCAGTGATCTGTTCTTCCGTCCTCTACTCGCCAGGAGGCCACGCCGCCTGCCACCTTTTCTTCTTCTCTTCCCAAGCATCGATAACGAGCGTGGCCTCCTCCTGTGGTTTTACCCCACCCTCACCTGATGTAGATGCATTGTTACTTCTCAGTTTTTCTTTCTCCCATGTTGGCAGTGAGACAAAGATGGGGTTGGGAGGGGCTGGTAAGAATATGGGGTCAGAGGTTAAGATTGACAAAGGAGGTAAAATCATGGTCTAATCAACTGTAAATGTGTAGAAAGTGGGTTTGGAAATGCTCAAATATAGAGCAGTTTAACGATTCAATGACGTGTGTGTGTGTGTGTGTATGCCAGAGAGAGATTGTGTGTATATGTAAAAGTGTGTGTGTGATTGAAACTGTCCTACCACCTTATTGTTCTCATTTGTTGTCCCACTAAAGTTTTTTTTGTGGGTGGTTTGATATATCTTCGTTTTTTTTTGCCGATGTGTTAGTTAGATTTTACCGCCATGGGACTGCCAGGCGGGTGGTGACAAGCAGTCAGCACTCCACTCTGGACACATCAAAGGCTCCCAACCAGCTCGCTCACAATCTCTCCTCACAGCTGGAATACCTGGGGATATTTTTATTTTAGCTTTCTAAAGCGGCGGACTTGACGACTTCAGTCAAGTATTTTTTTCGCTCCATTCATTATTTATTTTCCCAGCCCAATCCGCGCCTTAAACACACCGCCCTCGTCCAGCTGCATCTCCCGCTTTGACCGGGTTCTTTTTTACATTTCCGGCAGCCGGTTGGAACGCTTGCTTTGAGTGAGGGGTCCCCGCGGTCCCACCGGGTGGGAATTTAACACGATGGCTGCTGACACAGGAAAAAACCCCAAAATAAAATAAAAAGATTATAGATCATTATAGAGATGTGAATATTTTTGATGAGACTGGAATCACTGCACATTTGTTGTCATATATCTAGATCTATCTAGATTTATATATATACAGTTTTGTCATAGCCTTATTTATTTGTTTACTAATGGTCAGTTGTTGTTTTTTCTTGTCTTTTTGTTAATATGGTTTGAATGTTCTCCGGTTGCCTTTTCTCCAGCGAGCAATCGCCCCTCCTTCCCCGAGAGGGAGGGAGGTTGGTCCCCTCCGGGCATTGACCTGCTCTGTCAGTGTGACAGTGGACGCCTCTCTGGTGGGCAGAGGGAGTCTTTCAGAGGGATCAAAGTGTTCATCTTTAATGTGACGATACTTTGGGGATGTACACTGGTGCCGATCAGCGATGCGGATACAAGGGGGGGGGGGGTTAGCTCTCTGCTACATATGTAGGTCAACACCCAAACTACAGGTGTGAAACCAAACTTCGGACAACTAGCAAAAGAAAAAAGTAAAACTGATTTAAGATCAAAGGTCTAGTTAGTAGTCTTATTTTCTTTGTGGAAAGGGGGCAGGACTTGGACCTTAATCTCGGGCGGAGCTGTGGATCCAGTTTAGTCTGTTTTGGTGTTCCGCGGTTCCGGGCGGGGGAGTGCACGTGCATATGTGTGCGTGTGTTTATTTCCCACTGATTTTGGACCGTTCCAGTTCGTTCTCTCTGTCCTCGCTGCGCTTGTCCCAAACGATGGCAACTTGGACTTTTTTAGATTTTAAGTTTGTGTTTGTACGTTTTTTTTTCCATCAGATTACTTGTTTCCCCCTTGTCCACTTTTCTTTCCTCTTTTTTTTCGGGGGGAGGCGGGGGGGGGGGGGGGGGGGTTGTTTTGTACAGTTGAAAATTGGACATTTTGTCAATAATAATAAAGTCTGCATGGTTTCCATTCTTATAGTCTGGTGAGTTGATTTGAATTCCGTCTTTAGAATATTTGTTTGTTGTCAAACAGTCAATGAGTCGTCAATTTTGTGTCATTGGCGTTTGGCTAATAGTTCAGCTTTATACCAACAATCATCTTCAACTCAAATAGTTTAGCCCGATAGCAACATTTCAAACTCCTAATCACGCTCAGCATGTGGATACATTTTTGGGCACTCATTCACACATTCCTCCATGGACGTCAACCTTAAATGTTTCTATTTAATAGCTGGTTTTGACAGCTGACCTACAGTTGTATTGACTGACACCAAGTGCGAAAAGTGGTCGGTGGTAGTTTGCGGTGGTCAGATCCTTTTTCAGAAAGGCATTAGCCGATCTCAGTTGGGTATTTAGCGACATGCAAATACTATGTAACGTTAAATGAGTATCTTCGTGACCGTGGGTTTGCGTACATGTTTTTTTCTAACGTTATTGGCAATCTAGCAGATCACAGCGACTTGCAAGTAGCTCAGTGTCTTAAATAAAGTGATGTATGTCTTAATGCGAGGTTCTAGGTTTACGACTTCCATCATGCATGAACACAAAGGGATTATATATTGCTTGAGTCTGAAATGGGTCATTTGAGCAATGTTTTGATTGCCTACCGAAGGCAGTGGACAGAGAGCCCCCGCGGACTGACTACTACCCCGCCGCACCCTGTCCGGCCAAACCGTTCGCCCCGACCACCAGCCGTCACTGGGTTCTCGTTGTATTTATTTATTTCGATACATATGTCCCACTATTGTTTCAGCATGGCCATGCCTCTCTGATTATCGCCATGTTCCTATAATATCATAGGACGGTGGCGATGTCGTCCTCCTAGGCACGTGGAACACAATCCAGTTCAGTGTGATTAATCTGTATATATATTTGGCTATATATTCTTTTGTATTTGTTTTCAGCGAAGAGACAGTTTTGGTTATGTTTCAGTTTTAGTTCAATCAATATAATTTCACTATAAGATCATCATCCATCGGTTTGGAGAGGCCTCAAACATGTCACTAACTGCAAAAAAAAACCCACTCCATGAATGACCTCCGCCTGGCAGACGAGCTCAATGAGTTCTACTGCAGATTTGAAAGACAATGTCCTGATCCCATCCCACACAGCTCCACCAACCTGCTGCAGTCCCCCTCCCCTCCCTCCCCCAGCCCATCAGGTGCTCACGCCTCTTCATCTATATCACCTTCCCCTCCCCCACCAGCAACGACCCTCTCTATTCTGGAGGGAGACGTTAACCGGCTCTTAAGAAGACAAAATCCCCGTAAGGCAGCCGGTCCGGACTCCGTCTCCCCTCACTCCCTGAAGCATTGTGCTGACCAGCTGTCTCCGGTGTTCACTGACATCTTCAACACCTCCCTGGAGACATGCCACGTACCAGCCTGCTTCAAGGCCTCCACCATCATCCCTGTTCCCAAGAAGCCCAGGATCACAGGACTCAATGACTACAGGCCCGTCGCCCTGACCTCTGTAGTCATTACGTTTTTTGAACGGCTAGTCCTGACCCACCTGAAGTCCCTCACCGACCCCCTCCTGGACCCCCTGCAGTTCGCCTACAGAGCCAACGGGTCTGTGGACGATGCTGTCAACATGGCCCTCCACTACATCCTCCAGCATCTGGACTCCCCAGGAACCTACGCCAGGATCCTGTTTGTGGACTTCAGCTCTGCCTTCAACACCATCATCCCGTCTCTGCTGCAGGACAAACTCTCCCAGCTGCACGTGCCCGACTCCACCTGCAAGTGGATCACAGACTTCCTGTCTGACAGGAAGCAGCACGTGAAGCTGGGGAAACATGTCTCAGCCTCTCGGACCATCAGTACCGATTCCCCCCAAGGCTGCGTTCTTTCCCCTCTGCTCTTCTCCCTGTACACCAACAGCTGCACCTCCAGTCACCAGTCCGTCAAGCTCCTGAAGTTTGCGGATGACACCACCCTCATTGGACTGATCTCTGGTGGGGATGAGTCCGCCTACAGGTGGGAGTCCGACCATCTGGTGTCCTGGTGCAGTCAGAACAACCTGGAGCTCAACGCTCTAAAGACAGTGGAGATGGTTGTGGATTTCCGGCGGAACAGAGCCCCACCCTCCCCCATCACCCTGTGTGACTCCCCCGTCACTATTGTGGATTCCTTCCGTTTCCTGGGCTCCATCATCACCCAGGACCTCAAGTGGGAGCTGAACATCAGCTCCATCACAAAGAAGGCTCAGCAGAGGTTGTTCTTCTTGAGGCAGCTGGAGAAATTCAACCTGCCAAAGATGATGATGATCCACTTCTACACGGCCATCATCGAGTCCATCCTCTGCTCCTTCATCACCGTCTGGTACGCTGCAGCCACAGCCAAGGACAAGGGCAGGCTGCAGCGTGTCATCCGCTCTGCAGAGAGGGTTATCGTCTGCAATCTGCCGTCCCTGCAGGACTTGTTCGCTTCCAGGTCTCTGAAGCGAGCTAAAAAGATCGTGGCCGACCCCTCTCACCCCGGACAAAAACTGTTTGTACCCCTTCCATCTGGCAGGAGGCTGAGGTCCATCAGGACTAAGACCTCCCGCCACACAAACAGTTTCTTCCCGTCGGCAGTCGGGCTCATCAACAGAGCCGGTCCCCCACTGACTGACTATAACATTCCACCGGTCACTCCCCCTCATACTGCACATGCCACTTTAACTGCAATTCATCACTTTGTCACTTGTCACTTTGTCTCTTACTTGTTCGTTAGTGCACTTTGTGCTTAATATTTTTCTTTTTAACTTTTTTAATATTTAAAATGTTTAACTTTATTCCCTTGTTTTATACTCCGATCCCCCCGAGTTGGTTGATGAGAAGAATCGCAGCACGTTGATCAATTAAAGTCAAAAGTTAACATGTATTTAGAAGAGAAAAAGATTACATGAGCAATTCTCCGCAGATATCTGGCTCTAACTATTGCTTGCAAGCAGGAGGTCCAACACACCAGCATGTATCTCAGCGCTCGGTGTAATGACGTCTCCGAGCAGTAAAAACGCTGAGGGTTTATACACATGTGAAGGACATTCTCCGTGCCAGCTACGAGAAGCTGCAAAGCAGGTTGAGATAAGAACCCAGGTGAAGATGAGGGTAGCACACACACACACAAGATCCTCCTCAGTGGCCGGTGCAAATCATAATTAATTGACATAAAGTAAAAACGTGGATACGGAACTTTCGTACCGAATAAGATATGAACCAAGGCCATGGACAGAAGTCCTTTGTTTTGAAGCGTCTATGAGATCGAGTTAACCGCCCTCCCTTCTCAGGGCACAGCTGCAAACTAACATTGTGTATCATGCTGCTCGTTGCACATCAGGGTCAAATACAGGACACTTGAGACACGGCTTTAGCACAAAACAATGTTATAATATATTTTACCATTACACTGAGAAACCCACCCCACGTGCGCCTGCGTGTCTGTGTCAGACTGCGGGAGAGTGAGGCAGGCACTAGTGTGTGGTCGTCATGGAGACGGCGCCAATGCTGGTTTTCCCGGCTGATCACAGACCGGGGAGAGCAAATGGATTTTACCAAGAATCAAGTAGAAATATCCACGAGGGAAAAAAAATAAATTAAAACGACCGAAAATAGTATTGGTAGTGGCAGTATTATCAGCTGTAATAATATTAGTCATAGTAGTGTTTGTAGTACCATTAGTACTAATTGTAGTATTAATACCAGTAGAAACTAGTAGTACTTTTTCCTAGTAGCGTCAGTTGCAGACTCACTGCTAGAAGAAGTAGTATTGGTCTGTTGACAGAAAGCATAGCTGCGTCATGTGACTCCACTAATCAGGTAATAGGAGCAGCTGTGAGTCACAGACAGAGATACTGCAGCGTGTGTGAGTATCCACGGTAACGGTGCACCTGGGTTCATTAACGAGCTGCTGAACAGGGCAGAGACCGGACAGCGAGTTACACAGAATCCACACCTCAAACAAGTGTCCACTAGCGCAAAACTATAACAGCTATCTAAAAAATAATCAGGAATCAGGAATCAGGAATCAGGAAATCAGGAATCAGGAAACATTTATTTGCCAAAATATGTCAAACATACAAGGAATTTGTCTTGGCGGTTAGTGCGCGACAGTAGACAGACAAGACAACAGTGCACAAGTAATAAAATAAAGTGGAATGAAATGCTAATGCAATGGGTTAGTAGAATAAGGCTAAGGCTATGGGTTAGTATAAAAGGGAATAAAGTTAAAAAATGTTAAATATTAAAAAGTTAAAAAGAAAAATATTAAGCATAAAGTGCAACGAACAAGTAACAGACAAGAGACAAAGTGACAAGTGACAAAGTGATGAATTGCAGTTAAAGTGGCATGTGCAGTATGAGGGGGAGTGACCGGTGGAATGTTATAGTCAGTCAGTGGGGGACCGGGCTCTGTTGATGAGCCCGACTGCCGACGGGAAGAAACTGTTCGTGTGGCGGGAGGTCTTAGTCCTGATGGACCTCAGCCTCCTCCCAGATGGAAGGGGCACAAACAGTTTTTGTCCGGGGTGGGAGGGGTCGGCCGCGATCTTT